CAAAACTCAAACTTACAAAAAACCATATATAAAAGCCTATCTAATGAAACTTAAACAACGAATATTAACTTAATTAAGGTTATTTTCAAATTGATAAATCGTTTAATACAAATATAAATACTATAAATATAGAATTATATCAAGTTTTGATCTACGATATAAAAACTATTTACAGCAAAAACACACACACATACTTTTACACACTAAAAACTATATTATATCCTAAATATTCCTATAAACCTTACTTCGCATATAAATAACATTTAACACATTCCTAATATCTTTCAAAAAAAAAATATATGTGAAATAAAATAAAATAAACAACAAAATTTAAGTAAGTTATTTATTAAATGAATATGTAATTTCTCTTAAATTTTAATAACTACTATAATTTCATTGAAAACATTTCTCACCACCGACTCCAGATTTCGGCGAATGAATTCCCACAGTCGATGACTCCGTAGATAAAAATGCCACATCATTTATGAACAAAACCGAAACTTACAAAAAAACATATATAAAAACCTATCTAATGAAACTTAAGCAACGAATATTAACTTAATTAAGGTTATTTTCATATTGATAAATCGTTTAATACAAATATAAATACTATAAATATAGAATTATATCAAGTTTTGACCTAGGATATAAAAACATGAAATTTCCCATTTCATTATTAATTGGTGTCATTAGAAGAATCCACTAAACCAACAATCGAAAAAAATACACGTAAACATAATGATCCTGGCTCCGCGCTTGCGCGGGGAATATACAACTAGTAGATTAATGAAATCAGTTACTATAATTTTAATAGTTATTTAGTTTGAAGAACAATATGTTTCTATCAAAAAAATATTAGGATAGAAAAAAGTTAAAAGACTTTAAAGTATTTTTTAAATCATATATAGAAGTGCGATTAATCAACTTAGATTTGAAATTGTGATTATAGCAAAAAGTTTCTAAGAACATTAATAGTTGTCTACATCGAAGTGAATACAACTTTTTAATACAGTAGTTTCGCCAATAACTCATATTTAGTAACAATTCTGCAATAGACCCTATATAAAAGTTCAATCAAAAATATGCCTAAGCCAACATTTCAAACTTTGTTAGTAGTCGGAGCCAAAATAACAAGAGCCCAAACCGGTTTTGACTTTTGAAAAAAAAATTATAGTTGTTACTCTTTTTTTTTTTGAACACAATTATAGTTGTTACTCAAATTAAAAATTGTCACTCAAAACTTCACAACTTTTGAGAATATGAACGTTACTACACGGTACGACAAAATATGACCGTTGGACCTGTAAGAAAACTTATTACCGTTGTGATCAATTTCCATTTTTCTTTTGTAATAACAAATAATAATTATTCAATCGACCAAATATGACCGTTAGACAAATATCAACATTTTTTCTATAAATACAGTTCTCTTCTTTCCCCAGAACATCAATATTTCTCCTTCTTCTCTAAACAAAGACAAAATAAATAAATAGAATCTTATTTCTTTGTTGCTTCTTCTCGAGCGAAGCTATGTGGAATGTCTTACAGAGAAGATCTCATGGTCACAAACTCTTTTCCCTTTCGTCACTCACTAAGCTAAGAGCAGACTGACCCAGAAGTTTAGGTCTCTTGTTCAACCATGGGTCGCTCAATCTCGAAATTCAGGTGTTTACTCTATCCAAAACTTAACAGATCCAAAGAGCAGAGTCTATACTTCATTGAATGTTCATGTAGAAATTGTAAAATTAATAAAGGTTCTCTCTTTTTGCAGAACAGAGTGATGGATGCTTTCTTCTCAGGGCTCTTTTACACACTGCTTTCTTGCCTCCTGCTCCTCTTCTGGGTAACATTCAAAACTTTTCCTTTCACCAGAAGAGTATGAAACTTTAGTCTTACACTCTGCCTTTTTCATGTTGGAACAGAGTGGACATGGTAGATGACTCTATTGATAGCATTCTGTGATTAACTTGGGAAACTGCATAAAGGTAATAACTTATGTGTAACACATTCTCTTTTTGAAGTTTAAAAGAAGGAGTTTTGTGTTTATTTAGTCTTCTGTATTTACAGGATGATATCAAGTTTAAAAGAAGGATTACTGCCACAAAAGACGAGGAATAAAATGCAATGGAGGCCCATGATGGTATCCACTAACTCTTTACCCTTTTTGTTATAGGATTTACTAGGTACAGAGAACATTTCTCACTATAACTATTTTCCCTTCTTCTCAGAGCCTATCAATGAGGGAAATCATCCCGTACTACATTCTCTTAGTTATGAAGTTTAATAGAAGGAGCTTTGTTAGAAGGATTACTGCCACAAAAGATGAGGAAGATAAGGCAATGGAGTCACGAAGGCTTTGCTTATCGAGGTATTTTATCCACTAACTCTTAACCCTTTATGTTTTAAACACAGAGGACATTTCTCAATATATATATGCTTAAGACATTGTTTCCGTATGACACTTGCACTAACTCAAAGATCTTAGAACAAAATTTTAAATATCTTAAAACTAAACTCTAAAATTTTCCATAAATTAAAGTCTTCACACACAATATTTTTTAAAAAGTTTAGGTGTTAAATTTTCACTCCGTTTGAAAACAAACCAAGGATTTTTACATCCAGTCCATAGAATATTTTCTATAGCCCGTTAGCAATTTTAGCCGTGTATATGCTTAACATG